TTCCTTGATTGAGTCAGTTTGTTGTTGTTATTTTTAGTGTATATCAGGTACATTTTGAGCTCAAGACCTCACATGGGTTGAATGCTGACAAGAAAGGAGGCTTTGGTTTCAGAACCGTATTTATGCCACCTGTCAACGTCAGGGCTCAGAGACTTGTCCAAACTCTTGCAGAGGTTTGCACAATGCTTTTGTGACTTTAAGGGCCATGAAACTTCATTATCCTGGGGAGCTCTCTGCTCCCACATAAAGGGACAATATAAAGGATAGTTAATACAGTGCCATACATTGTATATATGAAAAGGGGACTATATAGAGATACAAGTAACAGTATAAAAATAAGTGTCTATATTATAGATAATTGCTACTTTCTCCCCTCTTTTCATATTCGTACTTTTTAATTAAGATTTAATTGATATATAACATTATTTTAGTTTCAGGTATACAACATTATGTTTCAATATTGGTCTGTACAGTAAATCCTCACTTAACACTGTTGACAGTTTCTTGAAACCGTGACTGTAAACAAGACAACATCTTACAAAAGAAGGTTATCAAATAGCATTGTTTTTAAAGATGGGCTGGGATTTCTTCCCTCTCACCAACATTATAACAAAGCAATGGTGAATGAAATGAAGCTCTTTGAGGACCTGTTGTATTGCAAAAGAATCACCAAAATAGGTCTAGTTAGCATCTATTAGCTTACACAATCATAAACTTTTTTCTTATGATGTAGTCTTACATTTTTATATAATAAACGAAGGGGACAGACATGCCTTCACTTTCCTCTGAAGGGACCTTCATGTTGGAGTAAATTCCCAGCCTCTCTGCCCAGTCCTGACTCCTCAGGCTAGGTGGAGGAGCAAGTTCTCTAATTGGAGGATATAAGAAAATGAAAATCCTGACCGATGATTTCTGACTAGGTGGGACCAATCCATTAGAAAACCTGAAGTTCCTGGAGGGCAATCTCCCTGCCACCTTCCTATCCAGGAATGTCCACCTCCACCTGTGCTTAAATATGCCAGCCCAAACCCTGGATTGAATAAGATGGCCAGAGGAAAGCAGTAGTCAGAGAAGAAACTGAATTCAGACCCTTGAATGATCAACCCCATCAGAGGTTGGCCCCAAGGCAGGCTTCTGCTCCTGGGCATGGCACAATGGGGAGGGGGCTGTGATTGAGAAATATTTATTCTGAGAAAGTTTCAAGGCATTAAGGGTTGCCCTGGAAACTATACAAGTGCTTTACTCTGGTCTAGACTACTATGGAGAGTACTAGTGAGTCCATCTGACTACAGAACCTACCTATGGTTCCATTAATTTACCACTAGAAGATTGAGATTTTGACTTTTATTTGTTTGACTTCTTTTTTTCTATTTTTCAGTTTTCCCCAAGTGCCAGTAAATAGGTCCTGAAAGAAAAGGTTACTTTTAAAGTTGTAAGCTGCTCTGTATGCAAATAATTTTATTAATAGGGTACCATTTATTGAGCATCAACCTTCTTTTTTCCTTTATGTGTATCATCTCAGTGAACTTTTATAATAACCTTAGAAGGTTTGTTCTGTTATCCTTGTTTTAGTAGAAAAATAAACACAAACAAAAAATTGAATTTTCAGAAAGTTTGAACTGCAGTTCTTCATGGAATCTTTATTCTGTTATTGGGGATTTGAGCCTGAGGGTGGAGGGGCAGTTGTTCACTGAGCAGTTAGAATTAGTGAACACTGACATGAACAACCGTGAGAACTCCTGGACAAACTACCTTCTCAATGCTTTGCATCTCTTGTTTACTAATCAGTGCTTATTACCAGCATCTTACCACCAATGTTTTTGCTTGTTCAACTGAAACCTGTCACCCAAACCCACCCCATAACCTACTGTTGAAAGAGAAGATAGCTCTGTGAAAAATCCATCTCCATTCTATAGATGGCTCTCAGTGGCCTGCTGGGGGGCAGAGGTGACTTAAGGTTACCAAAATCCAAACAAAGCAAGCAACGTGATGAACATTTCTCTTAGCTGAGTAAACTATCAGGGAAGAAAAAAGTGAAGCCTCTTGCTGGGTATTTGACCCAAAGACTGGAGAAATCAGGAGACTGGGATATTTTTAAAGAGTATTGCTATCAACCCATCTGTTACTATTAAAAACCGAAATGATGAGTATCTCTTTAGTTGAGAGGCTGGTCTGGATGTTGCCTGGGCTACCACGCACTAAATTTGAAAATGGATTCTCAAATGAGCCCAGAAAGCAAGACTTCCAGAATTATTTTTGCTTTAAAGCATTAAATTTACAGTCTTATATAGTTTCCAGGGCAACCCTTAATGTCTTGCAAATTTCTCAGTATAAATATTTCTCAATCACACACCCCCCTCCACATTGTACCACACCCCAGGGCAGAAGCCTGCCTTGGGACCAACCTCTGGTGGGCTTGGTCATTCAAGCTTCTGAACTCAGTTTCTACTCCGTCTGCTGCTTTCCTCTGGCCATCTTATTCAATCTCGGGGTTTGGGCTAGCATATTTAAACAGATTACTTCCAAAACTACTTCTCCATTCCTAGTTCACTAATTTCTAGTCCCACATTTATCACTTTTGCTGAGCACCTTCACATGGATCAATTGCAGGTACCTCTAACTCCTTATGTCTAAAACTGAACTCTTATTTATTTGTTTTCAAATCTTATGATTCTCCTATCATCAAATAATCTATTCTTTCACACATTTATCCTGAAACCCTGCATCATCTTTCTCACTCTTTCGTTATCCTCTGATCTAATGAGTTATCAAGTCCAGGCAATCTGTTGGGAGTGCATCCCTTTTTCTGTGCCCACTCCAGTCTTTCCTCTTCCTCCTGTATCAGCATTCCAACACCGGTGTCCTCACCACCAACCTCCTGCTACTCTTCCCTGTTTACTGCTACCAGAGTCATCTTCCCGAGATTCAGTTTCAACTAAATCATTTGTCATTGGCTTCTCATTGCTTACAACATGAAGTCCAGATTCCTTAGCATAGCATTCATATTCAGACCTCATTACTATTCCAATGCTGTATGACCTAGCTCAAAAAGGTTTCTCAACCTTTGTTGTTACTGTCACCCCTGGGACACCTGCTCAGGATTTTTTCCTTAATCACCCCTCTCAGGAAACTTTGATGTTACAGACATGCAGCGCACCTGTTTATGTGCTGTGTGTATGTCTTCACATGCCAAGAATCAATAGTTGCTCCTTGGGAGCAATATTGGCCCTATTAAAACTGCCTTCTCTCTTGAGTACCCCTAAATATGCCCAGACATCTACTAGCTTCCAAGTTTTTCTCACTTGGGTCACCCATGAGCATGAGAAGGTACTTCTGCTCTTCAGTGCACTGTGCTCCCTGCCTAAAGTGTGCTCACACATTTCACCCCCCAGCCTCCATTTCTTGCTATTGATATCTGACCTTTCCTGTTGCAACCCAAATACCATGTCCTGTCTATTCTTTCCATGCTCTAAGAGAACTTTCTTTCTATCTCTATTATGTTCTTTGTTGTGAAGTCACTTTTCTATTTGTGTTTTCTCCTCCACTGCATTATAAACTTCCTAAAGACAAGAACCATTTCCTTCACCAGGCACAATGGCTTTGCATTGCGGGTACTATGCAAAGTGTATGTTGGTTGAAATCAACTCACTGATTCACCGGGAGCAGAACAAACACTGAACAGAGCCCATGTGAAAAAAAAGTCCCACACATATGCTGAATACATGAACATACTAATAAATGGGGAAAATGAACATCCCAAGTGGACATACTCTTAAACCACCATCATTAACACAGAGGTCATTGAGAAAAGAGTTCTGTGCCTTGTACAACTTTGGTGAACAGAATTGGTTCCTGCTTCATAGAAACAACAGACACCTATGGAAAGTTACTTGAATGGTTACCTGCCCAGACATGTCTTGAATTATGATCACGGTGAGTAGAGGATCCAGAGGCCAAAACATAAATCGCCATTCTGATATCAAAATTTTGTTACAGAAATCTTTAGAGGGCTTATTTGACATACATGGAAGTACATTTTGAATGTCAGTAATCATCACCCTACGTAAGGGACCAAATTAAGGCTCTAAGGCAGGTAAGCTTATCTGACCAAGTAACTTCTTTTGTATTGGAAGTGAAGCCCAAAGGAAACCATACATTCTAGAAAAGGCTTGATAAATTTTAAAATGTATATACCTGAATATATTTAGAAATTTCTATGTTATATCACCTTCTAGGAAAAACAATTTCTGTCGTTTCATTAGATTACATGTTGCCTCAATCTTGGACTTGGGTATTTTAAAGAGGGATTTATATTACTTCTCCGGAATAGTAAAGAATATCGTCAAAATCTTGGAAAACTACAAATAGCTTTTTAACCGTCCTTTGCTCAGGACTGTATTCTGCTAAAACTCCATAGTGCGAGTGTATGACTTTTGTGGGACAATGAAGTGGTGGTGGTGGGGGGCGGTGTCTGGAGGGGGGTGGTTTCTGAGGGATGGGAAGCTTGGAAAAGAATTCATTTCCAAGTACACCCTAAATCCAGCCCTTGGAACTGGCTCAGCCCCCGCCAGGTCTTTCCAACAGGGCAACCCTTCCTCCAGTTCTGAAGATCCTGCACACAATTCTGTCCTGGCCTCTTCACTGCAAAACAGGTTCATCATGACTCTCACCTTTTCACTGCTTCTGCTAGCCGAGCTCAAGTAGCAAAGAGCAACAGCCAAAAGCACTAAATCTATCTCACTTAACAGAGCCTAAACCTCACTTCGGGACCGAGTTATGCAGGATCCTTAGCTTCACGAGCCAGACAGAGGGCGTGGCGGGCAGGGGAGGGGTGTAGGCCGGCCCGCCCCCTTGCAGTGGGATTGGCTCCTGCGCTCCCTATGGCCGCTCGTTTTGCATCTCGGTTGGCTAGGTTGGGAGAAACATGTCATTAAGGTGTTGTCAAAATGAACCTGTGAGTGTTCCCTAGGTGTGTGGGGTTAGACTTCCCAAGGGGCGGACTTACTCTGGCTATGGAATCAAGTTCCTGAAACTAATCACCTGTATCTTGAAAAATGTCGCCGTAACGCGAGGCGCCCAGGAGCGTCCTGTACCCCAACACTGCACAGAAAATGACGAAAGTTCCCCAGGGGTTTGATTTCAGTTTCTTAAATGACGAAGAAGCCCGGAAGATCCTTCGGGTGCTGGAAAGAAACGAGGCGCTCCAGAGGGCAGACAAGACGAGGATCAGGTACCGAGCACGTTCTTTCTTCCCGGGGCGCGCGGCCGTCTGGGCACCTGCGCGGAGATTTTCTCCTGAGGACTTTGGGGCGCCTGGCTGGGGCTTTTCCAGCACACGGCATCCCACACCTGCGACACTTGGGGCCCGCCGGGGGAGAGCGCCCCCACCCTGGCCGAGGCGGGCGCGTCCTTTGGCGCGTTTCTCTCCGAGAGGGGCGCGCGCGGCTGCCCCGCCGGGTCTGGGCGCAAAGGGGCGGCGGCTCGGGGTGCCCGCGGGGTGGGGGGCTGCGGTCGCCGCGGGGCGCCTGCCTGGCTGGTCCGGGGGTATGAGGCGGGGGTGCTGCGCTGGAAGGAAGGCCGGCCCACGCTCACCCACGTGCTCACACCGGCCCCCCCACTTAGCACCCCCTTGCGTCACGCACTCCCCCCTAACCCCCCACCCCCGGCTGTCCTGGTGACATTTCTCCACCCCATGGGTACTGTCAGCGAGGCCCCGGAGAGCCGGCACCTCGCCGGCGGCCTGGGGGTCCCCATCATTAGGACTGGGGGCGCTAGGAACTTCGAAATATGCGACGTGAACCCAGAGGGGATCCAGGTGTGCAGGGTTGGCTAGAATCCGTGGGTCTCCCTCTGACCTTATTTGCTATGCTGCGTTGTGGATGAGGAATTAGTTACCTGAGGATGAAACCAAGAGATAATTAGCTGGGATGTAAATTAACCAGTTTTTCTGGGATAAGTCCTGGAATGAAGGGATTCTCGCCACTCCTGGGATAGACCACCCAAAGCCCTCTCCAGCTGACTGTGGAAGGGATTTCAGGGCATCACTTTCAGAAGGAAAAGCGCGGCATCCATTGAGGTTAGAAAGACATTTTGTTTGTGAGCAGCTCGTTGGTAATGTGAATTCTAGGTTTTCACCTCCTCCTGCCCACGATCCTGCCCCCAGAAATAAGCATCCAAAGGTTCTGTTCACATAGGGAAACTGGAGCTGGCCTTTCTAGAAATGATTAGATTACACTGGACCTAAAACCCTCTCTTCACCCTCTCCCCTAGACGCCACCGTTGGAAAAAGGAAGGAATATTTGAAGTCTGAGAATGTCTTTCATGGCATCACAATCTGCCTTTAGAAAAGTAGGCCCTTTGTTTCCTCAAACATGCAAAAAGTGTGCCCTCCTTGCACAGCATGTCCATAGCCACACACACATGTGCTTGGCCTCACGCATGTGCACGTGCACTGTGCCTGTGCACACCCAGCCTTGGCAAGGACACCTTTAGAGTTGCATGCAATTTGTTTTTTTAATAAAGATTTATTTATTTATGCATACAAGAAATGGGGTGCAGGCCAGGGGTGTGGGGGATGAGAGGATTCACCAGAGACAGAGTGGGGAGCAGAACATGTAGACCTACTGAAATACACTGCTGGGGGGAGCAGCGGGCGAGTCAGCAGAGATCTGCTGCACCATGTGGGTCACCTCCCTGGTGGGGGATCAAACTTGTGCTGCAGTGGCTGCGGATAGCTTCACAGATTGCGTCTTAAGCCCTTGCACCACCAGGGAGACCCTAAGAGTCGCATGCAATTTAACGCCAGAGTGGATTCCAAAGGGACCAAGAAACTTGGTTGTTCTCGGTGTCTATTATTGGAAGAGCTTCTTGTCTCTTGGGAGGATGGGGCTTCTTATGTGACCCAGTGTGGATTCTGGGCAACTGAGGGGCAAATTAGAAAATAACAAGAGGGAAGGATCCTTCCATTTAGGGTATACCAACTTGGCTTCTCATGAACTCTGATATAGTGATAGGATTTATTTTTATTTTCATTCAAGGAAATTGTGACTTTTTCTATCTAACCTGATTCTAGCCATGCTGTCTAGCAGCCCAAGGCTCCCACGTGAACTGACTTTAGAGGGAGCTGGTCTTGTTATGCTTATCTGCTCACATGTAGGTGGCAAAGGCCAACGGGTTAGATCTTAGAAGGAAGACTAAAACACGTTTCCTGACTAGATGGTGCTCATAGTCTACTGAGGCATCCATAGAATAAGTCATCATGCTAAGGCAAAAAATCAGTACTGTAAATAGTATGCTAGTAAAAATAACTATCCCAATAATTTGAAAAATGTCACCATTAAAATATAAAAATAATTTGAGAAAAGTAGACACTTGGGCTGAATGCATGGGACAGTTGTTTCTTGTCCTTTCTCCCTGGTTAATTCCTGGGTCCTACTATCATATACCCACCATAGGGCAGCAGAATCCTTGGTCTTGTTCTGCTAATCTGCTCACGTGTGCCATTTTCAGCAGCAAATACTGACATGCAGAAGGACCTGAGATAACATGTCAGCTTGGCTGCCTACTTGTTTTTCTGTATGTGTGATCGTCACATTTTCCAAAGCAAGAGTCAGGACTTATCACTTAGAATTCAAGAATATAATTTAGGAGGTAACACAGATGGCCAGTCTGACAGACTCTGGGAGACCTTTCTGGATGGAGAAACACTTTTAAGATCTCTTGGTCAAGGGTCTCCCCTGGTGGCGCAGCGGTTGAGCGCTGGGTTGCAAGGTTGCCCACAGCCTCTGCAGCGCCAGTTCGATCCCAGGCCACCGGCAAGGGTCCCACAAAAAAAAAAAAAAAAAAAAAATCTCTTAGTCAAGACAACAGAAGAGCACGTGGGAGTAGGTTTGGGGAGTTAGCTGAGTGGGGGGCAACTGGTATGTTATGTCTGCAATAGACTTGGGGCATCTCAAAAACAACTAAGGAGAAACATCCTATACTTAAAGACAGGGAAATACAGTGCCATGCAGACCCATGGATATTAAAGGTGTGAGACTATTGAGTTCTCCAAGCAATGGACAACAGCCCCACCCCCGGGAGTGGTTCTGAACACACAGACTTTCCCCTGTTCTTCCCCCATTGCTACCAGACTTCTCTGACTCCAACCAATCATGAGTGTTTGCATTAAATAGAATAATGTTCCTAATATATGAATAATTCATTCAAATGTTTAAGAAAAAGAGCAAGATTCACACTAATAAATAGGCAAAAGATGGGAATAAATCATTCACACTAGAATATATCCAAACAATAAGCAAAACAGGGAAAATGTTCACTCTCACAGTAACAAAGAAATGAACATTGAAGTCACCTTGAGATACTGCAGCTTTAACTATCACAGAAAAAACGACCAGGAAGTGTTGGAGAGAAATGGAGAGATTCCTCATATTGTTAGCGGCATTGTAAGTCAAATAGAACCCTTTTGGTTAATCGTATGGCAATGCCCATAAAGATATGCCTTACCCTTGACCCAGAGCTCCAGTGCTTAGTGATTTCTCATTATTAGGAGAAATGCAGTAGAGAAATGGCCACACCAACTTTTATTAAGTGCTGTCTTTTTATATAATAATAGTAATTACTGTGATAATAATAGCAGCTAACATTTATTGGTCCCTTATTGTATACTAGGCACTGTACCAAACATGTTATGTATATTTAATTAATCCTCATTAGATATATACTTTCTCATTGCACAGAGAAGGAAACAACTTTAAAAAGTTGAGTATCTTATCCAAGTTGAACAGCAGATTCAGAAGTTAAATCCAGATCTATCTCAAACCTGTTTCACCCATCAGCAGGGCATAATCCTCATTAGCCACTCCTGGGGGTGAGTATTATCAATGACTTTGTGCAGAAGGGAAACTGACATTGAGCACAGTCGAGGAACTTGCCCAAGACCATATAGCTTGTAAGTGACAGAAGTAGATTTTGAACCCAAATCTAATCATCTCAAAAACCTGTTCTCTCTCCACTACATCATATTTTCCCCTGAGGAAATAATTCAGAATAGAAAAAAACAAGACATATAGTCTCAGATATTTATGGCCATATTACCAATAATAGCCAACAGTGGGAAATCAAATCTAAGTATCCAACAAGAACACAGTGATTACAAAGGATAATTATGGAGAGAAAAGTATCCAATCTAAGTGATATTTAGCTCTATACCTATGACTACCTCGGTTGTCATGTACATACCTCGAGCTTATTGTGGACACAACCGTGGAAAGTGCTTATGAGGCATTGGTCCATGCGGGCACAAAGTCATGCCCATGTGACTACTGTGGTTTCTCCAGGGCATCTTTTGCATGTGCACAGCAACTGGAAGAAAACAGGTGAAAATCTAGGCTTCTTTTTGGATGACTCCCCAGGGCCTGATGCAGCTTCTGCAGGTGACTATTCAGTAAATGCTTGCTGTAAGGCCTGGGCTTACCCACCGCTGCAGGGACTCTCTCTTGCCCTCAAGCCCTATACTGCCAGGGTGGAAAGTCAGACCTGGGGGCAGGACATCTAGCAGGCTGGGCAGGAATGCGGGGCATGTGCCACTTCTGGGGCTCTGAGAAGACCCAAGTGGGAAAGGAATGAACTTTCATGGTTGAGAGGAGAGCACACCACAGCCAGGCAAGGTGCCCCTGGAAACAACTGATGTTGGAAAGAACAACCTAGTTGGCTGGAGTCAGAGGCCTCTGGGGTCCCTAACTTCTCTCCCAACTTTTTTTTTTTTTAAGATTTATTTATTTATGCATACAAGAACTGAGGTACAGGCTGGAGGTGCAGGGGATGAGAAGATTCACCAGAGACAGAGTGGGGAGCAGAACAGTTGGAGCCACTAAGATACACTGCTGAGGGGAGCAGCGGGCAAGACAGGAGAGGTCTGCTGTGCCATGTGGGTAGCTCCCTGGCCAGCCAGGGATCGAACTCATGCTGCAGTGGCTGTAGATGGCTTCACAGTGCTGTGCTTAACCCCTCGCACCACCAGGGAGGCTCTCTCTCCCTACTCCTGACTCTCAGCTTGCTTCGCCTTCTCATTCCTACATCTCCACTCAGCCGCACAAGGGCTGGAATGTGGGGTATTCCTACAATGCACCTCAATCTGTTTGGTACATTTATCCTTTTTGTCCTCTGAGTCTGTACTCTGTGCTTCAGAAATACTCTGAGAAATACTTCAGTTAAAAGCATGGAAGTCAC